CCCCAGTCCCCTCAGGACCCCCTGGGACCTGTGATCCTGGCTGGGCATTGAGGAGCTTCCCCCTGGGTCCCGACATCTCCCCAGCCTCCTCTGCAGCCTCCTGGGCCATATCTGGAGTCTGGGGAGTTCAGCAGCCCCGACAGTGATGGCCTCCCAGAGGGCAGGTGGAGGGGACAGGTCAGCAGGAGACCCTCGACCTCAGACACCCCTCCAGCCACACCAGGTCTGGGGGGGAGGGGGGCAGGGGCAGCACAGAGGGATGTGCAGACATTCCCAGGCCCCCGCCAGGGCAGGGCAGTGCAGAGGCAAGGGAACAAGGAGGGCTGGGAGGGCCGCCCCGGCTTCCAGCACAGCTGGGTGAAGGTCTGAGCTTGGGACTTGGCAGAGAAACCCGGGGGAGGTCTGCCCTGGGAGGGGAGTCTCCTGACCTAGGATGACCCTTCTCGGAGCACCTTCACCTTTCCCACCCGGGGAAGGGACCCTCCTGCCCTGCTCCCTTCGTCCTGTCCCCTCTGCCCAGAGGCTCCTAGGGTGGGGGAGAGTGGGAGAGATTCGGGGAGAGGAGGCTGGCTAGGTGGCAGGGGCCTTGGGCAGCGAAAAGGCCTGCAGACCCAGGGCTCTTCGTGTCATGGGGGTTTGCATAAATGCAGTGTCTTGGGCCCAACCCAGCTGCCTGAGCCAGAATGTGTTTTCAAAAAGCTTCCTGGGGTGTGTGTCCACTAAAGTACTATCACCCATGAAAAGAGACCTCGCCCTGGCTGGGTGGCTTTGTTGGTTGGAGCATCATTGATTCTTGGTCAAGGCACAAACCTAAGTTCCTCTCTCCCCCTCCCTCTCCCCTCCTCCCTCCCTTCCACTCTCTCTAGAAATCAATGGAAAAAATATCCTCGGTGAGAATTAAAAACTCTGGCAAAATTAGACAAGTGAAAGTGAGGGCCAGGCAGCTGCTGACAGATGTCGGTGCAATAAGGCTGGCAGAGACGGAGCTGAAGGCTCCTCGTGCTCCACAGTGTGTGTCTGGAGAACGTGCGTTACTCACATTGCAGACATTTTAAAATTGTGATTATCATCTGTCACTGCCTCTGCATGTCTCACAGACTCGGCCACAAGAGGTCACTGTCGTGTTGCTCGCACCAGAGCACAGCCAGCTCCAAGTCTATGGTGCTGGTCGGTGGGTACCCAGCCACGTTCTGGGCGTCCTGCACCCACCTGGACCATCTGTAGAGTTTGCACTCCAACCCTGATTCTGGGTGGGATCAGGTAGCCTGCCACCCCCGCCCCATGGGGACAGCCAGCCTGTCCCCTTTGCCTTCCAGAAGCAGCAGAAAGCTGCATTTAAGGGAAGACGGGAAGCTCAGTGTTGCTGTGCCCCATGGCGCCAGCACGTAGTCCCCTCACCTTCTCTGTCAAGAGTGGGGCCCAAGCACAGGCTATTGAAGTCCGGTGACCTGGGACCCGAGGCCCACCCCCCTTAGAGCCTCCCTGTGCTTGGGAACTTGGCCTCCTGGGGCTCCCTGCCTGAAAGAAATGCAACTTCTCGGACCCGGCTTCATCCTGTGAGTCGGAATCTGGGGATGCTGATGCACTCTAGGCACTGGGGGTCACCCAGGAGGAGGCATCTCCCTTTCCTTGCCAACTCTCGGCTTTCCTGGCCGTGATCGCTCCTGCTGTCGGTGGTGAAGTCTGTGGTTCCGAGGGCCTCCAACAGACTTTCCACGCTCCCAACTGTGCCCGGCTCCTGGGCCTGGCCTACTCTGCACCCCCAGCCGCACCCAGTTACCCTTCCTCCATGTTAGGTCTTGGTTCAGAAAGCCTTCCCGCCTGCCTGCTCCCACCCTGGGTGCTCTGGCACTGCCTGTCCACCTTGGGCAGCTGCCTCTCCTGGGCCGCATGCGGAGCCGTGAGCTGTGAGTCTTCTCACCACCTTACTCAAAATCATCTCTTCTCACAAATGATGGTGAGCAAAGAAAAGCATGAATCAATGAAGCCGGAAGAAAGCCTCTGCTGGGATGGGGGAGCAACGAGGCTGCAGCTGGTCGCACGGGGCCAGAAACGTGGCCTCATCATGGAGGGGGGAGTGCTAACGGGAGACACTCGGCTTCCCGAGTTTTAACAAGTCATTCGTGCATAATCTTCAGGGTCCCCAAGACTACCCCCAGGCTTCTGGGAAGACTCGTAGGACTCAGGCTGAGACTGCAGGCTCCAGGCCAACCCCTCCCCATCTGGGACACAGGGGCTGTCTGTCTGTGAGGGCCTCTGAGCGCCTCCTCCGGCCTAGATGTCACAACAGGCTGGCTTTCGCTGTAGATTTGAAACACAACCTCCTTGGAGACACCCAGCAGCATCAGGCAGCTGGCGGAGGGGCCAGAAAGCAGTGTTACCAGCAGAGGAGGTCACAGTCCGCCTAGAGCGCCCAGGGGCAGGTGGCACACATCTGCCGTCCTAACACCACTTGGGGTGCGGCAGGTTGCAGACCCATAGACTAAAGCAACTGCTTGCACTTTTCACATCAGTTAGGGAAAACCAGAAGTTAAATTTAAAAAAAAGAAAAAGAGAAGAAACAAACTCCTTCATAGCACAGTGTGGCAGGCAGCAGCCTGTGGGTTCTGCCACTGCCTGGAGAGCTAAGACACCTCTGGGTCCCCGGGGAGCAGGGCCTGGGAGGCCTGCCGTGGGGAAGGTGAGGCAGTGTGGGCACCAGGTCCTGGTCTAGACTTCATGCCACTCCCAGACCTCCCTCCTGGGGCTGCTGGCCCAGGGCCCTGGCAAGGCAGGGTGGGTGGGCTGGCTGATCCTCACAGAGCTGAGTAGAGTCGCTGCTCCCAGGGTGGGTGCTGCCTCTGGCCTGGGTATTGAGGCTGGAACTACCCAGTTCACCTGGCCCTTATCTCCAGGACTCAGGAGGTGGAGGTCTGGTACCTGCCCTGCTGTTCACTGTCCTCAATGGCTCCACAGCTTCCAATCCGCTCTTGGCCTGAGGAAACACCTCTCGATTGCAACAGCTCCCCTCCAGGTTACATTAGCAAAGGACAAAACATACACACCTCCCTGGTTTCCCCAGGGCCCAGGCTCCCCGGCCTCTCACGTGGAGTCCTGCCCAAGGGAACAGGCAGTGTGACTAGTGTGGCTTGTGGCAGAAGGACGGCGAAACTCCAGGAGGTCAGGAGGCTTTGGCTAGAAGTAAGTGACAAAGATTTAGTCAAGGGTCTTAAGGTTTGCAAACTGGAAACACTAGGAGGCAACACCCAGAGTGTTTTGAGGAGAAAGCGAAGTCTGAGAGTTTGACACGGAAAAGCACATACTTCAGAAGAATCGGTCCTGCATTCTTAGCCCCGATTGGTCCAAGATGGTAATTGTCACATGTCTGGGGGGCTGGGCACTGGAACATCATCATTCAAAAGTCATTCAGGTGGTTAACCGAAGGCATGATGTATGTCCAGGCCCTGACACAGGACGAGTGGATGTCCATCCAGGTACAGGTACAGGTGCAGGACGGGAAAGTGCAGAAGTGGGAGTTCCCAGAGTCAGAACAGGAATAAGACTCCTCAGGCCCAGCCCACTTGATTTCAATAACTTAGCAGCTTGACCACAGTGACTCCCTTTTAGTTCTTACTCAGGGGCAGCTGAGGAGCTCTGGGCAGACGGGAAGCTTGGCCAAAGCAGAAGAGGGGTTGAGCAAAGACAGGGACAAGCATTCCAGGCTGAGGGAACAGCACATGCAAAGGCACAGATGCTTCTGCTAGACTGGAGTGAAGAGGCAATGTGCCTGGGGGAGGGCAGGAGACAGAGGTGTCATGACTAGACTAGCTGGTCCAGGGGGAGGTGATACAGCAACCCAGGTGGGAGGGAGCCTGGGACCAGGGGGAAGGGGCATAGTCCTGTGGGCTGCAGACAAGGAGGCCAGAGCTGAGCTGAGGGAGGGTGGCCCTTGGGGAGGGTGGCGCCTTGCTCCCAGTGTATGCTTCTCTTCTGGCTGGAAGTGCATCAGCTGGAGCAGCCTGACTGGGTCCTGGCCCAGAGGGAACTCTGTAAGGAAGTGGGGGACGGGGGTGGAGGAGTAGAGAGGGAGGGGGAGCTCACACCAGGCCACCCTGTGGAAGTGAAGGCCAGCATCACACACACCTGCCCTGGGCCAGCACAGACCACACCTGGGAGGCCCTCTCCCTATTTCCTCTATGTTTTTATCGACAGATTACCTCCTGCCCACCCTCAGGGCTGTAAGGTTCTCAGGCTATGACTGACCAGCCAGGCTAAAACTGGTGGGGTCCCCATGCCCCCAGGATGTCACACAAACCCAGTCCCAGCAATGAGTGCTGAATGGAGAGGCTCTGCTGAGCTTGGGAGTAAGTCTCCTACTGGGTCCCAGGGGGTGTGCAGCCTCCTCAGTCACCTGCAGAAGCCCTGAGGTCTCCTGGTTACTATGGCCCAGGGGGTCAGAGCCCTGAGCACAGAACTGCAGGAAGCCTGCCAGTTGCTCAGAGATCACAGGCCCAGCGCCTCCTTCACCAGGTCACAGGCAACACCAGGCCCCCTCTGGCTTCTGGGGACACCAGCGGCTCTGCTGGGTGCCCCCTTGTGGGTCTGGCTCCTTCTCCTTCAGGGACCCTGGACTTACATTTATTCTACCTGCCTGTTGACTCAGCAAGGAGAGGAGGCTCACCCCCACCCCCTGCGTGTGCCCTTGGTTACATGTGTAAATGCCAACCCTCAGAGCTGTGGGCATGGAGAAGCAGAAGAAATACTTATTTCCAAAAGGCTCAGGAATGACCATGTCCTCAGTGTACACGTGTATGTGCGTGTGTGTGTACATGTGTGTGTACACATGTGTCTGAGCCAAATCTGGCCCATGGCTTGTTTGTAAATAAAAGTTTATTGCACACGGCCACAGCTCGGTGGCTGCTCTGCACTCCAACAGCCTGGTCGAGTATTTGCAGCACCGACTGTAAGGCCTGCCAAACCTGAAATATTTGCCCTCCGGTCCTTTAATAAAAACTTGGGGATCCCCTGAGCCCCACATGAGCACTGGGCTGGAGACCACCCCATGGCTGGGAGGAGCCTGAGAGGGTGCTGGGGGCGGAGGACGCCAGGCTCTGTTTTCCATTGACTGGTCTCTGAAGGCGCCTCCTCCCTGCCAGGGGTTCAACACCCCGGCTGTCAGGCCCTGACAGAAGGCTAAGCATTGACAAAGGGTCAGGTAACCACCACAAGCGGGCAGCGGGCAGCGGGCGGAGCTGGAGGGGGAGCCCATCCACAGACCTCACCTCTGACACCGCCTGGGCCAGCCGGGAAATGCTCCGCACTCTGACCTCCGCCAGTGTGGCCCTGGGGCCCCGGGTGGCAGGCTGGGTGCGCACCATGGCCTCGCACCAGCTGCTGGTGACCCCCCCAGAGGCTCTGCTCAAGCCCCTGTCGGTGCCCAGCCGGCTCCTGCTGGGGCCCGGCCCCTCCAACCTGGCTCCACGCGTCCTGGCGGCCGGGGGACTGCAGATGATCGGCCACATGCACAAGGAGATGTACCAGGTGGGCTGTGGGGGCGGGTCAGTCCCTGAGCTGCCTCCTCACTGCAGGAGGGCCGGGAGCTGCATCTGACCTGCACCCCTACCACCCTCAGATAATGGATGAGATCAAGCAAGGCATCCAGTACGTGTTCCAGACCAGGAACCGCCTCACGCTGGCCATCAGCGGCTCGGGGCACTCTGCCCTGGAGGCTGCCCTGCTCAACCTCCTGGAGCCTGGGGACTCCTTCCTGGTTGGGGCCAACGGCATTTGGGGACAGCGGGCAGCCGAGATCGGGGAGCGCATAGGTAAGGGATGGGGCAGAGGGTGGGGTGTGGCCCCCACTCCACCCTTTCCCATCCTCCTGCCTCTGGCAGGATGCCTGGCAGCCCCCTCACCCCAGGTACCAACCTTGGCCCCTGCCCACCCCCCTCTGTGGTCACTTTCTGGCCAGTCCAGGTGTCAGGATGCTTGAGGGTCCCATCTCCCTGGTCTCCCAGAGTTGGGGACAGCTGTTTGTGGAGCACCTGGGTGGCACTGCAGGGAATCCTCTGGTCTCAGCGCCCACAGCTCGCCGGGGTCCCCAGGGTCACCTCTGCTCGGCCTTAGGACAGGGTTTCAGAGGCTGAAGTTCCCCCCCTCAAAAGTCTCAGAAACAAACTCTTTCTGTGAAGCCACAAAATATGGAGGAATGGACAGCGTTTCACTCCCAGAGAAAAATATCTTGAGAGACAAAGCTCGGGAGCAGGAGTGAGCCCTGGGTTTAATGATTGATGGCGCATTTGGAAATCCTCCTGCACGGTCAGCTCCACACATGGCCGCACTCCATCGGTTAATAGACAACTCTGACAGCTCACGGGTTCCCAACCCCCCACCTGGTCCCCTTTAGAGCACACACTGGTTGGGCAGAGGCCAGGACCTCAGCACCCACAATCCAGTGGCTCTGACTGCCCGCCCCCAGGCTTGGGCTCTCCCCTGAGCCTTGCATGGTCCTGGGGCCTCCTCATCTCCTATGTACGGCTCTGGGGCTCTCTGTGCACGGGGATGCAAGGCTGGGAGAGAGGGAGCAGGACTAGGGCCTGTGTTCCGGGAGCCCCCCTCCCTCATCCTTTCCTTCCTTCCTTCATGCCTTCCTCTGCTGGGAAGGCACCGTCCACTGGCCTTGCACAAATGCTTGTTTATTTCCCGAGTGAGGAGTGCTGGGGATGCCCAGCCTGGCTGGACTGGGGGAAGGCCGCCTGAGGAAGGGACAGCACAGCTGAGCCAGGCACAGTATTGCCCTGCGCACCCCAAAACCTCAGCTGACTGAGAGCAGCCTCACTGAACACGCCCCACTTTCCTCTCCTGTGCAGCGGCTGGGGCTGGGGTGGCAGGTCCCTGTCCTCATGTGGCCTGCTCAGCACAATGCTGTTCCCAACAGTGGCTCCTGCTCTGTGTGCTGGGGCAGGGGTGGCTCTCTGCTCACTGTGCTCCTGCCCCCAGGAGCCCGCACGCACCCGATGATCAAGGACCCTGGAGGCCACTACACAAAGCAGGAGGTGGAGGAGGTACGACCCTGGGGAAGGGAGGGGGCTGGTCAGCTGGGGGGGCTTGGGGCTGGGAGGCTGGGGCCGATGGCTGCCCAGCACCAGGTGACCCACAGGTGATACCTGGGAGCAGGTGGGAAGCCTGATAGGTAGGGTTCTGCCTGGCAGGGAAACTGAGTCAGGAGCCCAGCCCTGTGGGCAGGACCAGAGGGGATGGAGGCAAGAGCTGGGGAGCAGAACAGGCCCTGACACCCCAGGCCCCGAGCTGGGGACTCAGCTGACCTCACGAAGGTCCCAACAGACGGGTCAGAGGCTGAGGCCACTCTCCCTGGGTCTCTGGGAGGGAAGTCCCTCTCTTCCTGGAACAAACCTCCTCCCAGAGTCGAGATGCCGGCCCCCATGTCAGCTCACGTGCAGATGAGGAGGGTGCGCCAACCAGGGGAGGAAGGGAGTGCTTGGGACGCATCCTGCCCCACCTTCTCCAGGAGAAGTCCTGCTGGGGGCACTAGCTGGCACTGGCTCTGCCCAAAGCTGTCACCTCTGTCTCCTCAGGGCCTGTCCCAGCACAAGCCGGTGCTGCTGTTCCTGACCCACGGGGAGTCCTCCAGCGGCGTCCTACAGCCCCTGGATGGCTACGGGGAGCTCTGCCACAGGTGAGCCTGTCCCCTCAGGTGAGCCTGTCCCCTCAGGTGATCCTTCCCCACAGGTGAGCCTGTCCCCTCAGGTGAGCCTGTCCTCACAGGTGATCCTGTTCCTACAGGTGAGCCTGTCCCCACAGGTGATCCCTCCCCACAGGTGAGCCTGTCCCCTCAGGTGAGCCTGTCCCCACAGGTGTTCCTGTCCCCACAGGTGATCCTGTCCCCACAGGTGATCTTGTCCCCACAGGTGATCCTGTCCCCACAGGTGAGCCTGTCCCCTCAGATGAGCCTGTCCCCACAGGTGAGCCTGTCCCCACAGGTGATCTTGTCCCCACAGGTGAGCCTGTCCCCATAGGTCAGTGGTTCTCAACCTTCTGGCCCTTTAAATACAGTTCCTCATGTTGTGACCCAACCATAAAATTATTTTCGTTGCTACTTCATAACTGTAATGTTGCTACTGTTATCAATCGTAATGTAAATATCTGATATGCAGGATGGTCTTAGGCGACCCCTGTGAAAGGGTCGTTCGAATGCCAAAGGGGTCGCGACCCACAGGTTGAGAACTGCTGCCATAGGTGATCCTTCCCCACAGATGAGCCTGTCCCCATAGGTGAGCCTGTCCCCACAGGTGAGCCTGTCTCAAGGTCACAGTGCTGCGGGCAGAGCCAAGCCCAGCTCAGACCAGGCCGGGGGGCAGGGGGATGGTAGCAGGTGAAGCTGAACCCCATCCTCCACGGCCCCACCCAGCCTATGTCACATGGTGTGGGATGCAGGCACCTCTCGGGTCCTCCTTGTTCTTCGCTGAGTCTGGGTGGGCTGTTCTGTCTGAGAGCAGGATTAGGTTCCCCATGTCCAGTGCCCCCTGATGCCCACTGTCCTTCAGTCCCCACGGCTGGGAAGGGCTTATGCTGACTCACCTAGCCTGAGTTCCCAGAGCCCCAAGGCAGCTCTGCTCTCCACTCCCCTCCTCTGGCCTCCCCCATCCCTGCAGGGGTGCACAGGGCCTTAGAGGAGCCAGATGGACCGTCCTGTGACCAGCGGTCCTGCTCTGCAGAGTTGACCACAGGCTTGAAGGAGGAGGCTCACAGCCAGGCAGGATCTATGGGGGCAGAGGGGCCGCCGGGCACAGCTCCAGCCCTGACAGCCTGCCCCCGGAGTGCTGTCCAGTGAATCAAGCTCATGAATGTGACCTGGGCCATGATTCCCGAGGGGCACACCTGTCCCTCTGCACCCAGCATGGGACACACCTGTCCCTCTGCACCCAGCATGGGACACTCATTTTGCCTTTTTTTTAAGTTAAATTTATTGAGGTGACATTGGTTAATATGACCATACAGGTTTCAGGTGTGGGTTTCTATGTTGCAAGATCTGTATATTGCACTGTGTGCTCATCCACCCAAAGTTAAATCTTCTCCCCTCACCATATATGAGGACCCCTTCACCCCCAGCCCCTTCCCTCTGGCACCACCACACTGCTGTTTGTGTCCACAATTTTCAGTTGTATATCCCACATGAGTGAAATCGTATGGTTTTTAGCTTTTTCTGCCTGACTTATGTCACTTAGTATGATATTCTCAAGGTCCATCCATGGTGTTGCAAATGGCAGTATTTCATCCCTTCTTATGGCTGAGCAGTATCCCACTGTGCACATGTACCACGTCTTCTCCATCCAGTCCTCTACCGCAGGACACTTGGCTGTTTCCACGTCTTGGCCTTTTTTATAAGAAAACGTGGAGGTGGGAAGAGGCAAAGCTTTGGCGCGGGCTGTTTCTGGACTCTGTCCTCCCTGGGCTCTGACCTTACAGTCAGCAGGCTGCTGGCAGCGGGAGGCCCAGGCTCATGCTGCGCGGTTCCTGGACCCCCCACACATGCTTGGCGCTGAGCCCTCAGAGGCCCCAGCCACCCCAGGACCACAGGCCGCCTGGGCTGGCCTCACGCAGCCCTGTATGGGGATCCCGGGGGCTGGCAGGCAGGGCAGGGAGCTGAAGTCCCTCCTGCTTCACTCTGCTGCCCCTCCCCCAGGTACCAGTGCCTGCTCCTGGTGGACTCTGTGGCATCCCTGGGCGGGGCCCCCATCCACATGGATCAGCAAGGTAAGGGTGTGCCCCCGACACCCCAGCCAGCTAGGCTCCATGAACTGATCAACACCTATTGTGTCTGGGGGGCTACCAGGCGCGGATGTGGGGGCAGGCGGCGGGAGCTTCTCTGGAGTTAATATGGGGGAGGCGCTCAGAACCCCTGCAGGAGGGGTGGGAGGAGGTAGGGGACTGCGATGCCTCTGGGCATGGAGAGCGGTTCTTCAGTTTTCATTGATTACATGCACACTCTCCGATTGGTAGACTTGGGCTTCTTTCCAGTTTTAGGCTCTTAGGGATAAGCTGTGAGAACATTCTCGTTCGGGCCTGAGTGCACATTTGAAGCCATTCCTTTGGCCCCACCGTCAGGGCATCATAAGGTGGGCACAGCTCAGATGTGCTCGGCCCTTTATCCTCGGAGCCCTGATATTCTTTGCTGCTGCCCAGAATTACAAGGCCTCCTCAGGTGATGGCATTGTAGGCTTTTTGTGACAGATTAGAGGTGGGCACAGCTCAGATGTGCTCGGCCCTTTATCCTGGAGCCCTGATATTCTTTGCTGCTGCTCAGAACTATAAGGCCTCCTCAGGTGATGGCATTGTAGGCCTTTTGTGACAGATTAGGGGCCAGTACTCCAAAGTGTGAAAAGAAAACCTCTTTGCCTCCTTTGCACTGTCCCCAGCGCACTCACGCACTCTGACACCAGGGCATGGCTCTCCCCATACCAAGTGGACACTCACTGGGTGTCCCAAGCTCACTGCACCTCAGTGGAGACAGCGTCAGACTCCACAGGGTAGGACTGGTCCTGCAAGGGTGTCCCTCTCACTCCAGACGCCAGTTGCATGATGGGTCCCCAGGTTACCCCAAACTGTCAGACTTGTCCTGGGCTTCAGGGACACCCGAGCTGGTATGGCCCCACCCTGGGTGGGGCATGGCCCCGGGAACACGTGTCCCTCCTCCCCACAGGCATCGACGTCTTGTACTCGGGGTCCCAGAAGGTCCTGAATTCCCCTCCGGGCACTGCACTCATCTCCTTCAGTGACAAGGCCAAGTGAGTGGCCCCTGGGCCCCCAATCCAGGGCTGGATGTGCAGTGAGTCCAGCTGGCCCCCAGGAGGGAGGGAAGGGTGCCTTGAGTTGTGCCCCCAGATACCCCTAGAATGCTCGTCACCTACCCTAGACAGGTGTCCAGCCCTATGCCAGGCCAGGGTGGTCTGGGGGAGGGGATAGGAGACCGACCCCAGCAGATTGTCACCAGGTTAATGTTGGTGCCATTTACCAGAACAGAGACTATTCGGGGTGAGATCAGGAATTCTGTGTGGACAGGAAGTCTGAGATGACCGTGGGAGGGTCGAGGAGGCAGCAGGGTCTGAGTCCAGAGCTCGGGGAGAGGCCCGGTTTGCGAGGCCAATCTGGAGGTGCCCGGCCTGGGGATGAGGTTGCCTATAGGCCCTCAACTATACCCAGCTTCACAGACTACGCCCCAGGAGAGGTGGGGCCCTGGCCTCAGTTTCCTCTTGGTCACTTTGATGTGTTTGGACTCACCAATGCGGCAGTCCCCAGGCGGCAGGGTCACACCCACGTGGCAGAGGTGCAGGCCAAGCCCAAGGGCCAGCAATGGGCCTGCCCCGGGACCCACCTCTGAGGAACAGGAGGGCCTGGGAGATGGTCCCACAGCATCAGCCGGACAGGTGGGCACTCAGGCTGGTTCTTCCTCCCCAGAAATAAGATCTACAGCCGGAAGACGAAGCCCTACTCCTTCTACCTGGATATGAAGTGGCTGGCCAACTTCTGGGGCTGTGACGACAAGCCCAGGATGTGAGGGCAGGGGTGGGATGGGCTGGGTGTGCCTGAGGGGTGTGGGGGGTGACCTCTCACTACCCTCAGCCCTTCATCAGTCTTACTTTGTTTCCAGCTCCCCATCAATGCCCCCACCTACACTCCCCCATTTCTCCCTGGCCTGGGGGCTCAGGGCCAGCTGAATGCCCCCCCCACCCTTTCCCAGATCCCTGTGCCCATAAAAGTGTGGCAGCAGGTACTTCGGACCTGGCCACATCTCCCCGTTTCTGAGCCTCAGTTTACCCATGTCTCAAAAGGAGGTGAACCCAGGGCTCTCTGTGCAGTGGCTTTGGCCATAACCCAAGGCTCCTTATCACACATGGGGACAGGGACCCTGGGAATTGTGCCCTACCCAGGAGGCCTGGTGGGTGCAGTGTGGGTTCCTTGGGGCCACTGGGGCCCAGGGAAGCCAGTTGGGAGGTGGGAGCCAGCATGGGGCCTCTGTACCTGTCATCATCCCACTGAGGTGTGGCCAGTGCCCCTCTGAGCTCTGCTCCTGCAGATCCAGCTGCCCTACCAGCTCTGAGTCCCTGATTCCCACACGGGAAGGGAGCTGGCCCAGTTGACACAGAGCCTGACCCAACTGTGGCTGCCCGGCCCCAGCCCAGTGACGCTGGACCAAGCCCACCCATCCCGTCTTCCAGGTACCATCACACGACCCCTGTCATCAGCTTGTTCAGCCTGAGAGAGAGCCTGGCCCTCATCGCAGAAGAGGTGAGGCAGGAGAGCACCAGCTGGGGGCCAAGGGTGGCCGGGGACAGGACCCAGGGTGGGTAGGTGCTGAGTGACACCTCCGTGAGGGCCCAGCCAGCAGGAGGGGTCTGAGGAGAGGCAAGGTGTGCAGAGGGGAGGGTTGGGGCAGCCGGAGTGAGGCCAGGAGCCAGGTTTGTGAGTGTAAAATTACCCAAGTTCAGCAGCCGGGCACTTTCCTGCAGCCACATCCAGCCCCCAGGCTGGTGTCAGGAGCCAGACAGGGACAGTGCTGGGACGACTGTCCACACAGGCTGGGCTGGCTCTGCAGGGCACAGACAGGACACACAGCTGCAGCTCAGCCCACCTTCACTGCCCTGACCTCCCCACTGGGCCACGCTGGCCCCCAGCCCAGAGGCCAGGAAGAGAGCAGGCTGTGGCGGCCTCTCCTCGAGGCTCAGTGCTGTGCTGGTCGCGCTTGCCCTCCTGTGTCCACTCATAAAGCCACCGCCCCAGGGCTGAGCTGGCATCGAGGAGGCGGAGGTCACCAGCCCCAGACTGGGCCCTGTGTCACAGGGGGTGGCTCTGAGGGTGGGCTGGGTGTGAGGGTGTAGGGCAGGGAGAGGGTGGAGCCACATGGCACTCAGGTTGTGGTCAGTGTGCTGGGAAGACAGGGGGCAGTGTGTGACTGAGAAACCCCCTGCCCTCCCCTGGCCTGCCCCCCACCTGCACAAGGTGCTCTCGACTCACCTCCCCAGGGCTCCAGTGCTGGCTGGGCCCCATCCCCCTCACCAGAGGTAGCCCCTGGCACAGAGCCATAGCCCCAAACCTGGGGGCTCAAGGAGACTCTCAAGGGGCTCAAAGTCCCGGGCAGGCTTGGAGCTCCCCAGTCTGAAGCTGCCCCTGTGGGTGGGAGCCTGCTTTCTCCTCCCCACCCACCTGCCTACTGGTGCCCTCTCCCTGAGCAGGGCCTGGAGAACAGCTGGCGACGGCACCGGGATGTCACCGCTTACCTGCACGGGCGCCTTCAAGGGCTGGGCCTGCAGCTCTTCGTGAAGGATCCCGTAAGGAGGGCAGGGGCCGGGGGGT